TTGTTGATGTACCTTTATTTTTTATTTATTTATATGTGGTGCTGAGGATAGAACCCAGTGCCTCACACATGCTCTGCCACTGAGCTACAACCCCAGCCCCATTTTTGCATGTGTTTTTAGTGTTATATTTAATGATTCTTTGCCAAGACCCAAGATCATAAAGTTTTTTTTCTATCTTCTAACACTTTGTTTTACCTCTTTGGTATCTTTGATCATTTTTTACTTAATTTTGTATATATATATGTGAGATAAAGGTATGCTGTTTGGATATGGTTTGATTGTGTTCTATAAGGGTTTATGTGTGAGAAGTTTGGTCCACGGAGTGATAATGTGAGAGGTGGTGTGGACCTTTAAGAGATGGGGTCTAATGGCAGATCCTTAGGTCATTGATCAGCTATCCTCAGAAACTCTTGTGGTACCCCTGAGTTATTGTGAGAGTCTGTTACAAGACAGCCTAGGGTTGGGGATGTAGTGTAGTGTTAAAGCACTAGCATGTGCAAGGCCCTTAGTTTGATCCCTAGCACAAACATAGACACACACACACACACACACACACACACACACACACACACAATTGAGTCCTACCCATGAATTATTCTTTGATGATGTTTTATTCTTGCTTACACTTCTACCACAGTGATCTCACCAGAGGCTAAATCAGTAGGGCCAATGATCTTGAACTTTCATACTCCAAAACTATGAGCTAGATAAGCCTCTTTACTTTATAAAACTAGCCTGTCCCAAGGATTTTGGTGTAGTAATAAAAAAAAATAGACAAATACAAGGTCCTATTTCATTATTCTGTATATGCTATCTAAATTATCCCAGCATAACTTCTTGAAAAAATATTTTTTCCCCATTGAATTGTCCTGGTAACTCTGTAAAAAAAATTAGTTGACCATAGGTGTATTGGTTTATTTCTGGACTCAGTTCTGTTCCATTGGTCTGTGTCTGTGTGTTATGCCAGTACTGTACTGGTTTGATTTCCATTGGTTTGTAATAAGTTTTGAAATCTTAAAGTGTGGATTTTTCTGTTTTGGATTTGTGTATAGAACAATTTGTGTCCCAGGCATTGTTTAAAACAACAGAGAAATTATTCAGCAGTTGTAATATGAAATTTGTAATTCACCTATCAATTTCTACAAAAGTCATCAGAATAGGAATTGGATTCACTCTGTAGATTAATTTGAGGAATATTATCATCTTAATGTTAAATCATTTGATTTGTGGACATGATATATTTTCCCATAATTTAGATTTTCCTAGCCTGGCACATTGGTGTGTGCCTATAGTCTGAGTTATGAGTTACTTGGTGGGGGGTTAGGTGACTGAGGCAGGTTCAGGTTGGTTGCTTGAGGTCAGGATTTCAGGGCCAGCCTGTGCAACATAGTGGACCCCATGTCTTAAAAAAAAAAAAAAAAAAAGGAAAGAAAACTATTTTTTTTTAAAGTGGATTCCTTAGGTTTTTCTAAATAAAAGATCAGGTCATCTGCAATAGAGATATTTTTATTTCTTTTTTTCTTGCCTAATTTCCCTGACTTGAACCTCTAGTACAGTATTGAACAGATGTGAGAAAAACAGACGTTATTCTCTTATTCCTTATTCCTTCTAGTCATAAAACTACCATTAGTGTTCCTTGTGAGGCAGATGTACTGGTAACACATTCTTTCAGTTTTTGCTTCTGTGATAAAGACTTTGTTTCACCTTCATTTTTAAGATAGCTTTGCTGAATTATAGGATTTTCCAGTGAGTTTTTTCTTTGAGCTCTATTTTATCCTTTACCCTGCTAACTTCTGTTGTTTTTACTGAGAAGTAAACTGTTAACCTCATGTCAGTTCTTTATAAGTGATGAATTGTTTTTCTTTTACAAGATTTTTCTCCTTAACATTGAATTTTAGCATTTTTACTATGGATCTTTTTATGTTTATTTTACTTGAAGTTTTTTAAGCTATCTGGATGTGTAGGTTATTGCATTTTGGTAAATTTGGAAAGTTTTCAGCCATTATTTCTTCCTGTTTCTTTGCATGTCCCCTAATGTTTTTATTGGAAATTGGACATTTAGGTAATATAATGTAGCCAAGTACTGGTCTCCTCCCTCCAAGAATTTGTTATTGTTATTTGCTTGGTTATTTGTTTAGATAGTTATTTTAGAAGTCTATTTCCTTCTCCCTCCTGCACCCCTCCCCTATAGTGTTTTTATTTATTTTTTTAAATGTATCTTTAAATTTTTTAGTTATTGATGGACACAATATCTTTATTTTGTTTGTTTATTTTTATGTGGTGCTGAGGATTGAACCCAGTGCCTCACCTGTGCAAGGCAAGCACTCTAGAGCCATGATCCATAACCACAGCCCAAAGTTTTTATTTGTTCTTTTTAGTTACACATGACAGTAGAATGTATTTCGACATATTATAAATACATGGAATATAACTTCCCATTCTTGTGGGTTGTACTTGATGTGGAATTACACCGATCGTGTATTCTTATATGAACATAGGAAAGTTATGTCTAATTCATTCTACTCTCTTTCCCATTCCAATCTTCCCACTTTCCCCCATTCCTCTACCATGTTAACTCTGATACTGTTCCTCAGGGAACTTTGGCATGACAATAATATTAGTATGGCTCTTTCTTTCCCCTGGCCACATCCAGCTATTAAACTCTACAACTGCTGAATAATTTCTCTGTTGTTTTGAACAATGCCTGGGACACAAATTGTTCAATACACAAATCCAAATTTTGAACCCTTTGACAGAATAGTTTCTGGGGTTCATTTTTGATACTTGTTCTGACCCCAGGAGGGCTCCTTTCAGTTTTCTTATTCCCCAGTTCTCTTCTATAAATTAGCCTGTAATCTAGATTGTTGTCTTCATTAAATTCTTGAATCTCTTTCCAATTACCTTTCACCACATCCTCCAGTATTCTTGAAAATGTCAAAACTTGAACTTCTCCATAATCTGGTACAAATGAAGTCAGTTCCTTTGGGAAGATAGTAGGAGCTGTCTGTTTTTATGACTTATTTCTATTTTCAGACATAGTCCCTGAGCCAGCGCTCTGGAACTGGGAGGAGTGGGGTCAATGGTAAACTACTCTCCAGGTAGCACCCCTGCTTTAGGCACTAAGTGCTCAGTGAAGGTTGGATCTGGAGAGCAGTCTGAAGTTCGTTAAGCTTGCTGCTCCTGGTGGTAGATCCACTGCCTCATAAGCTGGGCTGAGGTGATCAGTGCTCCAGTATTCTTAGTAATGCCCCACCTGAGTTAGAGCATTTGTCCTTGAATTAGGGGCTGAACAGAAGAAGGAAGCACCCACCGCTTAACTGCACTTGCTCAGAATTTAGCCTTAACAACAAATAGCTAGGGGCAGGGTGGGATAGCTTAAGTCCTGTTCTTTCTAAGAAGAAGGCCCTCCAACTGGAGTAGGGGCAGAAGGAACCCTATGTCCTTGCCCACAACAGTCTGAAACTGAAAGGGACAAAGGAAGAAACTATTTTAGTTCAAATAGCACAGATCTTGCCTTTCTTATGAACTTTTGGTGGATTTTCTTGAGTAGATTTCTTTTTTCATTTGCTATTTGACCTAGAAACCATTTCCAGAGCCTTTCAAGATTATTGTTTCATAATTTTCATCACTTTTCACTGAATTAGTAGATTAGCTTAGGCCTTCATGCTATCTTACCAGAAATGTATCTCTGGAATGGTTTTAAGTACATTGGAATTATTATTTTTTTAAAGGACAGTAGAATTGTCCAGTGCAAGTATCTGGGTCTTCTACTTATTGATGGGGGATGGAGTTCTTAAAAATTTCTTTTATGTAAACTTGTCTATTTTAATTGACTTTCTTTTCCAAGGTCAGTTTTCTTTAAAAAAATATATGTTTTTATTTATACACGGACACAATACCTTTATTTTTATTTATTTATTTTTACGTGATGCTGAAGATCAAACCCAGTGCCTTTCATGTGCTAGGTGAGCACTCTATCACTGAGCCACAACCCCAGCACCCCCAGGGTCAATTCTAGTAAAGGATATTTTCCTAGAATATCATCCAATCCAGATTTTCAGTTTATTTGTTTAGGATTGAGCAGAATTATCTCTTATGATTCTCTTGTTTTTTTTCTGTGTCTGATTATTTCTTTAGTGGCTTCTTTTTATATTTGCTTTATTAGAAGTCATTAATGAAATAGAAGTCATTATTCATCTTACAGCTTCACTGTTTATAGCTTATTATATTATATTATCAATAATTATTTATTTTCACAATAATAATTATTTAATTTTTTCATGTATTAGTCAGTTTGTAATTTGAATTTATTTAATCCTCACAATAGCCCAATGAGATATAAACTAATATTATTTTTACTTAATAATGAGAAAACTAAGTCACAGAGATTAAGTAACTTGTTTAATTATGCCTAGATACCATGATTTTAATTTTTTATTGACTATAAGAAGTTTAATATTTAAGAATTAAGTTATTAAGAATTATTTAATTATTAAGGCTGTTAAATACGTAGACCTGTTTCCTTCCTAATGTCTCAACCTAAGTCACCATCTAAAAAAGTTATAATCCTTGGTGGTTGTCTATAGTGAAATATTTTGTTTCATGAATTATTCAGCGAAAATAGTATTGTGACTTGGTTTGACTTCTTATGATATTCCTTTCATCCCAAGTATTTGTGTGGAACAGATTATTTGCTTGTAAAAGTACAATTGCTAACTTTGATTTAAAAGCTCTTATATGATCCCAACATATACAAAAAGTCAAGATTTATTTTTCTTCAAGAACTTTGTTAATATAATGTCTTACTTTCATTCCTGAAATGAGAAAAATTAGGAAAGACAGGAATTTGAGGCTAAAAGTTGAAAGAGTCTCATCAATATGAAAAAAAAATCTCCTTGCATAAGACTGAGTAAATATATGTATTACTGCCCTCTTAGGTTGGTATAAGGGACATGTTTTTAAAAAACTTTGTACTGAGATTCATCTTTCTTCTTTCAAAGGTGTTAAAATCATCACACAACAGGTTCAGCCAAGTAAAATCTTACCTAAACCAGTGACTGCAACTCTTCCCACCAGTAGCAATTCCCCTATTATGGTGGTTAGCAGTAATGGTGCAATTATGACAACTAAACTGGTAACCACTCCTACGGGTAAGTCTCATGAGCATCAGTCCATTCATTCATATGTTCATCAAGCAAAATCTCTGTACCAGTGATATTCTCTACATTGGGGATCAAGAGATTAATGAAATAATTCTTCAGAGACCTTTCTTGATCCACCTACCTCCCTAAAACTGGCTGTCTCTTACTATTCTTTCTCATGGTCCTCTGTTCTTTTCCTTTATAGAACTTACCACAATTTCTCATACTTTGCTAGTGGTTAATTTATTTTTCACCTATTAGGTTGTAAGCTCCCTGAGGGTAAGGGATCACGTCTTGTTTATTCATCATATATAGAGAGTTGGCCTGTTGTAAGTAGGTGCTTGTTGAGGATTTGTTGACCAAATGAAAACAGTGCCAACCCACAAGATCTTACTCTGCTGAGATCAAGAACCTGTGTCATAGGATAGTAAGTGTTATTGAGGCTGAGGGAAGCACAGGATGCCATTATGCCCAAAGAGTAAGCAGTCAGCCTGTGTTTGAGAAAGTGATATCGTAGGACCTTGTAAATAGTACTATCCTTTGTGACCTTTAGCAGGTTACTTACTTTTCTAAATCTTTTCCCCTGTCTAATTTAAAGGGGAGACTAATATCTAACTCATAGATTATTGTAAGTTTTAAATGAAATCAAGTATGTAAAAAGTCCCCAGTATAGTCTAGTGCTCAGTAGCTATTACTATTAATATTAGAATTAGCCATTACTAATATTTTAAATGTCTTGTAATTCTTTTTTTTTCCCCCCAGTGCTGTGCTGGTGATTCAACTCAGGGCCACATGAATGCTAGGCAGATACTCCAGTTGCTGAGCTATGCCCATGGCCAAAGTGTCTTTAACTCTTAACCAAACTTTTTGAGGAGGGCCAGTATTTACATGACACAGTTTTAGACTGTACTGTTTAGCAGTACAAAATGATACCTATCTCAAGTATTATAAGCTGTCCTTTATTGACCAGTATGTTGAGATCTATACAAGCATTGTATTTAATCTCCTTTAGGCTTTATTATTTCCATTTTCAGTGACTTGCGTCAACCAGTTTGCCTAAGGTCACATAGCCAATAAGAAGAGAGCTGAGATTTGAACCCATATCTGTTTGACTCCAGAACCTATGTTTTGTTTTGTTTTTTAATTTTGGTTAAAATATACATAATATGAAATTTACCACTTTCAAATATTCATTTCATTGGCATAAAGTACTTGCCCATTGTTGTACAACCATTAGTACCATCTATCTCCACAACATTTTCCTCTTCCCACACTGAACCTCTATACCCATTATATAAGAACTCTCCATTTCCCCCTTTTCTATAACCCTTGGCAACCACCATTTTACTTTCTGTTTCTATTTTAAACACTGTTATTCTCATATTAAATATATCATACTTAGCCCAAACTCTTCTCCATTTGGCTCAAAGATATTAATATTATGTATATATATATGATTCCTCATGTTAGGGGAGGGCAGTGAAAAATTATACTGTGCCCATGTTTGTCTATATTAGAGTAAGTGTTTCGTATTTTAAAACAAAAGCCAAAATTGAATGTATGATTCGTAGAATTCAAACCTTTGGTGCCCATGCCATATTTACTTTCTACTAGGGTTTTTGTTGTTGTTGTTTAAATTTGGATGTATGTTTGTAACCAGTTCAAACTGATTCTACTAAATGTTTCTTCACTCCTCCCTTTTTTGAGTAATGGATGTATTTTTTAAAGGTTAATAAATTGCTAAAATAACTTTTTTGGGGGTTGGGAATATAAGTGGCTATCAGAATAGTCTTTGAATCTACTTATTATTATGACAAAAAAAATTAAGTTGAAAAAAGTATTACCTTGGTTGTTGTTGTTGCTTTTTTTTTTCATTTCCCCAAGGCTAATAATTTTTTTTTCAGGAATAGTCTGAGACTATACTGTAATAGTCTTACTGGCTGTGTAAGAAATAAAGAAGGCGCATCTGGTTAGTTTCTAATTCCTGTTTGGTAAAGAGAAAAGTCCCCAAAATAGTGGGAAAGGATATAAAATCCTTTGAGAGATATGAAGAAAAATATTCTAGTAGGTCAGTTAAAGTTGAGGAAATATGTAAGTGGAGAAAATTTTTAGCTRTAGAGAAATATTCCTGGCAACTCTTGGCAGCTTCAGCTTTAATCTCTAGTAAAATGATGGAATAACCCTTTAAAAGATGGAAATATATTTAGAGGTCAGGAGAGTATAAAAAAGTAAAAGTTTATAAAATTTTAGACAAATAATACTGCCTTATTTGCTGAGTGCTGACGTCAGGTTTGGAACTAAGACAAAATAAAACAGATGCAGATACCTTAAAATCTATAATAAAAATATCTAAAATGCTCTGGCAGGAAAGATGATTAAATTTTAAGTTTCTTTTGGCATAAAACTAGTGGAAGAAGGTAGTTGAAGAAGGGAACAGGCTTAGCGCTACTTTTTCTTGAGTTAGTAATTTGATGCAACACATCACAAAATTTTAAGTGTAAAATTAATTCAAATTGACTTGGCATTTGTTCTTGCTATGTGCATTGAAGACTGACTGTAAAACTCTAAATTAATGTCTTGACACCTGAAAATTCCATTTTCAAGTTAAAGCAATGTAGGTTACATTGAATTATGGTTAAGCAAGTTATTCTTCTGTAAGTGATGATGAGTTTTTCTTTTGGCTTTTTCTCTTCTGTAGGTACACAGGCAACCTATACCCGGCCAACAGTGAGCCCATCCATAGGTCGGATGGCTGCAACACCTGGAGCTGCAACCTATGTGAAAACTACCAGTGGTAGCATCATTACAGTAGTACCCAAATCATTAGCTACTTTGGGGGGCAAGATAATTAGCAGTAATATAGTTTCTGGTAGGTATATCTGAAATATATCAAAAGCATAGGTGTCCTATAGTGAGAGGAAAAACATTTTCACTATTGAAGGATTGCTTGATCTCATTTTTCTTAGAAATCTAAAGCTTTGTTTTTAGTTCTTGTGTTTAGAGATTAAATATTTCTTAGTTTTAGTATTAAATATTCACACGTAAAGCTTTTGATAGTTCTAAAATTAAAAGAATAATTACTTGTTTTTAATCACAATGCAAAGATTATGGTTAATTTTTGCATAGAGATTTTTAATTTACAAAATATTCTCCCATTTGTCAACCCAGTCAGACTTTATAGTAACTCTTCAGGTGGTTATTATTGTGCCCATTTTACAAATGAAGACAGATTTGGATTTAGAGGTCCAACTGACCTATCCATRTCTGTACAAGTTAGAGCAGTGGAAGAAGTAGTATTAATACATTGAACTCAATTGAAGGAACATATCTCATAATTTCAGTTACTAATGTTACCTTAGCCTGTTAAAAATAAAAATATTTGAATATCTTAGTTGCTTTTCACCATTTATCTTAACTGTTTGCTTTTAAGAAATATTTTACTCAGATAGTAAGGTTGTTAACCATCTGCCTATTTATTGGTATATTGGAATTTTACCTGTTTTTTATTGGCCTACAATATTTGGGTCATGGATCCTGACGTGGAATGTTAACATGGCATCTGTTTTCACTGATTATTATTTTTTAATTAAAATGATCTAAATAATCTCTGATTAAGCAAGCCTTATGAATTAACTGCTGCCATTTTTGTAGACTAGTCGTATTTTGTTTGCCCCTGGTGAGTTGTTCTAATATTATAAAATCAAGGGACTGAAGTTTCTGGCAGTAATTTGATGTTGCTGATAACTCAAGGAATGAAAAAAAGCAAAGCAGCGCTTGGTATTGGCATCAAGCACTATATTTAAAGCTGTTAATTTTGGCTCTTCTTTTAAGTGTAAGTGAGAAAATTCAGTGTTTGCCAAACTGAGGAGGATGAAAGTAGGGAAAGAGTCATTGTACTCTTAACTTTTAAGAGGATATTTAAATAACACAGTGATAACTCAGATTATAATTTATTACTTGACAATATCTTCAAATAGTATAGAACATTTACTCAATTAAGCATTCTTCAAAAAGTTATGTTTTTCATTGGTAGGTAACTTTTTATGACCTTAGGATTCTTTCTTTTTTTACTTATATATGAGTTTATAATACCATATAGCTTGAAGGGAATGTTAGATGAAGCCTTATTTATAGACCTTATTCATGATGTAGTTGTTTTGTAGTAGGTTAGAGGAACATAAGCAGGCATATTTTCCTAGAGGCAGAGATTTAAGATCTATATCCTGTATATATTATCCACCTTCATATTAAATATAGAACCACTCACTTGGTTGTTATTTCAAGTAAATGGGTATACATGGGAAGAGTTATTAAGCTTTTCTGGCACTGTAGCATATACTTACTTGGTATACATGCAACTTTATTCATTGCATGAAAATTATGATGTCTTCGTATTTCCTTCACTGTTTGGCATTTTTCCTCATTCCTGATTGTTCTAAATGGATCCTATGTTTACTTATCACTGTTCTTTATAAAGATCGTTCTCTTTTTTTGTAATATTCTATTATTCTGTGATCCTAGGATTTAGGTTAGTTTATTAGTAGTTTTTAAATCCCTTTGTCTATTCATCATAAACTGGTAATCTGGTTGAATGAAGTTAGTAGTTTTCTGTCTTCATCCATAAGCAGATATTAGTTTCTAAAATTCTCTCCCTCAAGGGAAAGGAGAAATACTGGGGAATGATATTGGCCAAATTATATGGTTATATTGTGTGCATGTACAAATATATAACAAGTCCCACCATTATGTACTACAACTATAATGCACCAATGAAAAATGAAAAAATAAATAAATAAAATTCCCTCCCCCACCAAAAAGCAGTTTTCCTAAAATACATTTAGACATCTAGCTATAAGACTAGAAGACTTAACAACAACAAACTTTCCTTTCATTGTGGGGTAATTTAGAAAAGTACAAAGATAAAAACCACATAATTTTGCCACCCATGGAAATGTGTTAAAATTGAAATGTATTTTCATTCCTTTTTTACTCATTTGTTTATGTGAATATATGTATATTTTTAGAAATTAGGACATAATTTTTATCCTTGTTTCATAAAATGTGTTGATTATTTTTACATACCTAGTAAATATATTTTGATATCCCTTCCAGTTGCCACATAATATTCCCTCATGTGATTTACCATAATTTAACTATTTTTTTTATTGTTGATGTTTTTGATTGCTTACAGGTCTTTTTATTGTTATAAATAATCTTGAAATGAATATTATTATACATAAATTATTTGTGAATTCCTTACTCCCTTTGTATAATACCCTAGAAGGCAAATTAATGCTTCTTCAATACTTTCTAGAAAGCTCATTTTTTTAAACTAGAGTAAGCAATTAAATGGAAGTGATGACTGTTCTTACAGCCATTTAATTCATATATTAATCAAATAGTTATATGTGTATATACATGATAATTATCAGGTTTGTAAGCTTTTGTGAGCCATATTGAGTGTTGGTTGAAGAAATATACCTATTTTATGTAGAAGTTTGAATCCTTTCAAAATGAATCCATTATCTTGACTCTGAGGGCATTTATAAGAACCTGTGACAATGGCAAGACTTAACTATGATTCTCTTAATCTTTACTAAAATGTCCAGACAAGGAGCTCTTGTTTATACATTTTTTCCCATTCATTCATTGTCACATTATTTGAGAAAAACAACATAAAACATTACCCAAGAGACTGAAATTGTGTGGGTTTTAAGAATCTGTGAATAGTAAAATAGAAGCCAATAAATTTCTGTTTCTCTTTAAGCCAACCTACCATAACATGCAAACTTTTCCAAGTGTATTTTTTTAAAAAAATAAGAATCATTGGAATGCGTCAGAATCATTGCCCATTATGAATCAAATGTGATTCACAAGTTATTTGCAACCATTATGCCTTTACTTTTAAGTATGGACTATATAGTGAGTTCTCTGATATGTTATGATTCAGATGCTATGATACTTAGACTTGAGTTTAAGAACTTGAGTTTCATTCTCTGCCCTAAAGAATGCTAAACAAATGACTTGGGATGCATTCTGTTGTATCATGAGAACTATAAACTCATTACTATGAAAGCATAGAAAATGGTCTCTCACTTTGTGTGTGTGTGTGTGTGTAATGAGTAATATTTCTAGATATAGAAACATGCTCCCTGGAATTTCAGATACTTATAATTGATCATTATAGACAAATTTTATATTCTATTTTAATATAATGTTGAACTTGCTTTTCCTTATACTAATCCTTTTTCTTTGAGTTTTTTAACTTTATTCCCCACCCTCCCCATTTTGTTAAACTGGTGGACATGGTTCACAACTATTCTTATAAACTGACAGGCCTTTGAAATGAAAAGGATAGACAAATAAAATCCATTGGTTGAGCAAGTTTTGTCAAAAAATGGTCCATATATTTTGGTGTAGAGCTAGAAACATAGTTTACATTTCCTTGAAGTAGATTTTTGTGCTTCCTTTCTAAAAACATTTTTTCAGTTATCAAATATTTGGTGAGAAGTGCAGTGTCCAAAGAGATCTTCACAGTTAATTACATACGAGGGACTGGACTTAAGAGTTACTCTTTAAGTTGGTTTAACTTTAATGGGTAGCTTGGTTTTTGTGGCTTGTAACAACTTGCTTATTCAGACTGTAGATAAAGGGAAAAACTGTTGTGAAGCTAGTTGGTGGATAAAAGTGCTTTTTTATATAATCTCTGAATGTTTTACTTTGAACTGATGAGATCTTGGATAATGACAAGTATGTTATAAAGGTATTTTTATATCAAAATTGACAAAATTAATAATTCTTAATAAAAACAACTAGAATACTTCTATTCTTAGTGTAATCTTATTTATAAAATTCTATTAATGATTACTACTGATTTCCAATGGAAAATAATAAAATTTTTTTAAATTTTTCTTTTCAAGAATATGAGTCATGTTTTTATTAAGTTCCTATTCTGTACTTAGTCACTGTTAAGTAATGTATAGACCTTTATAAGAATATGACTACCTGCTTTCTTATGCAGAGAAAATTATAGGAGCAAAAGTAGCATTGCGGTTGGTGTGCTTACCATGGAAACCAACACTGAAGGAGAGATACATGTTAGATAACCTAATAATTCACACCTGACAGAACCCTAAAAGCTAGCTGAGGAATTTGGGGCTTTATGTGGTAGTTTGTGGGAAACCATAAAGAAATAATTACTTGTTAGCCTAGAATTTATGGAATTTACCGTGGAGTAGGAACTAATAAGATCATATTGGTAGAATTAGGGCCAGAACATGTAAGATTTTGAAACACAAGAGGGAAAGTTGGGATTAGATCCAATGGAGATTAGGGAGGTTCTTAACCAATTTAATATGTTCCGGATTCTTGACATGATAAAATTAGTTGTTTTTTTTTTTTTTTTTTTTAGTATGTTGGATATGTCAGGGCGCACCAGAGCTGTTTCTGTGATAGAGAAACTTGAAATAGGGAGGCAATATGGAAACTAGAGAAGAGGAGGGCCTGCCTGTTGAACTAGCGTTGATAACATTTTAAAAGACGACTTTGCTGATAAAGTGAGCTCATTGACATACTTAATGAACAAATGTTATAAAGTAATTCCATCCACTGTGCTAAGCACTGAAGGAATCAGTGGCACAAGGAGTACAGAGCTCATGGGCTTTCGTTTTGTTACTGGGTGCAGAGTCAAGACAAGGCATAAATCAAGGATTTACAAAAGGATTTTCAACTTGGACAATTAGAATATAGAGCATAGATATAATAGATGGTTAGATTTGATAGGTTGAAGAGAAGAATTTTATGGAAGGATGCAGGGAAGAAGACAATATGGTATTATGTTTGTATAGTAGATCTTAATGGTTAAAAATAAAAATCTACCTATAAAATATACAGTATAAATCAAAATTTCATTCTCACAATCTCTAGAGTTCTGCAGATTACAAAAGTACATGTTGAATCTGCAACTTGGTCTATGTGTCTGTTTACTTTTGTTTTGTTTTGTTTTTGCCTTTGCTTAAGGAGAGATTTTGTTTTGTTTTAATTTTGCACAACATAAACAGAAATGATCATCACTAGTTCTTAACTCAGGCCTCCTTTTCTTCCCCCTTTTCTAAGGAACAACTACCAAAATCACTACAATCCCAATGACTTCCAAGCCTAATGTGATTGTTGTGCAAAAGACAACAGGAAAAGGAACGACCATTCAAGGCCTCCCTGGCAAAAATGTTGTCACAACATTGTTAAATGCTGGAGTAAGTAAGAGCTTGAACTGCAGATTCAACAATACACTGAAAATTTTAAAGATTAGCTATACAAATATTTGCCTAAGGACTTTTGAACCCTACAATGACCAGAATGACTTGATTTACCACTACTGTGATATAATAACTATTAAAACATCACCAACTGATGCCATTTTTTACAATAATTTCTAAAGCATCTGCTCTTATTTGCTCATAGTTAGGTTGCTTATGACCATGATTTAGATACTTAGCTTGGTCCAGATGGAGAATTTCATTGGCTTAACTGCAGAAATACTTCTTTTGGAACATGATTTTATTCATACTTATGGCCAGTAGATATTGGAGTAGTATTTGGCATAGACTATTTTATTTTATTTTGGCAAAGAGAAATATTTGGGTTTAAGATGAAATTAATTTATGGGGATATGTTACTTTAATTTTTTTCATTTTTATCTCTTTGACCTAGTTTTTTAAAAAGTCAAAGAACTGATTTATAGTTCTAAAAATGTTGTCAGGAAAAATGAGACAAGGCACCAAAGATAGCAGGAAACAGTTTTATTTGGCTGCAGCCAGGTTCAGAGGGCACAGCTTTTGCTGTAATCAATTAATCCCCTGAACCCCGAGTTCAGGGAGTTTCAGAATTTTATACCCAGCAGGTAAGGGGAGGGGCTCAGAAGTTCACAGTCTGCAGAAGTTCACATAAAAGCAGCTTTTTCTCTCACTGTTCTGGGCATGTTAACCCACCCTTCGAGGACAACACCTGAGAAGGGGAGAGCTTCTTCTCCCCTTTCTTTCCTCCCGCTGCCAGCTGTTACCATGGAGCCCATTTGTAACTTATCTTAAAAATGTAGACATCTCTGYGAAGCCCAGCTCAAGGCCAGGGCCTTGTTTGCACATTTCTTCAAAGTACTATTCTGGATATGTTTGTGAAAAACTAATAAGGGGGTGTCTAGCACCTGGAGTGCTGGTATCTTCTCGGCCAGTGGCCAAGTAAACAGGGCAACACGAAAATAGGAAGTTTATCTACATTGGACTCTTTTACAGAGACTCTTTTGCTGACAGTCCTAAAATCAGTCTGGGAGTCCTAAAATCAGCCATGGTGAAGAGGGCTTTTCTGTGGAGAAAGGGGGTGCCACTTCAAAGGCAGTTGTTAAGAGGTTTATAGGTAGATCTGATCTTGTGTCTTAATATTGTACTTGTTTGATCTTGGGTGACTTATTCAGCTTCTCTAATCTTTCATTTCCTTATTTGTACATTGGGGATTATGGTAGCAATTTTAAAAGGGCTTAAAATAGTGTCTAGCACATAGGAAGTCCATTATCATTGGTTTTCTTTAGATTGCTACTACTCTTGGTATTTAACTATTTAGGCTTTGTAATGTCCTTACCTTTTCTGACTTCTCTAGAAAATGGAATGCTGTCCTTTTAAGTAGATCACATGAAAGCTTCTTAGGCATCATGATTTTTGGAATGTTGGAAGGGATCTAGCAGTAGACTTTCAACATGTGGGAAATCGGATTGTTTTTAGATTGAATTCACATAGTAAGCCAAAAATAGAGCCAAGAATAGAATTCAGATTTTCAGAGCCCTTTTAAATGTGGTTTATAGTTCAATAGTACTTGATATATAAGCAGGGATGCCATATACTATTGGTCCTGTGTGGTTGGAGAGATCGAAGAGTCCTGTGAGAGTACTCTCTACTAGATAYATCTGAGCAACAGTTGGACATAGGCAATGCTAATAAAATAAGCAGATCAACATATAAGAACAGCTTTTTTACCACATAGGAACATGCACTTGCTCACCTATGCATGCCYACAATACACATCAGGAAAGCTTCTTAAAAAAAAAGTCTGCTAGTTATTTTTGTTCACKTTGTTATACTTGGATAGGACCCATCAAGCTGTTGAATAGATAGGCGTGCCCACTTGCAATCTAGTGGATGTTGGCCACTTTCCAGAAATGCTGCTGTCAAGGATGTGTGTGTATTGAAATAAGTAATCACACAATTGGCAGACACTTTGTTTCCCTTAGATAATTACCACAGATAGTTAAATTTAACATTTTTTTGTAATGCAAATATATTTAGCTCCAATTCCACAGAGTGATTGCTTTTTATCCAACTGACATGGATAAAAAGCACTTTATTTTTATTGGCTGCTAAGTTTGGAAGGCCACGCATCTAGAAATTAAGAAAAACTAATAAGGTAAAAATTGTGAGGTCTTTTTTAAATTTCCTTTTTATTTCATGGATCTTAATTTTAAAACTTTTTTTTTTTTAATAGAGTCTTACTATATTGCCTAGGCTGGTCTTGAACTCATGGGTTCAAGTAATCCTCCCACCTTAACCTCCTAAGTAGCTGGGACTACTACGTATGCCACCAAGCCCAACTTAATTGTAAATTTTTTTAATAATTTAGTAAAATCACTATATTTGAAGTTATTTAGCTAACTTCAAGTAAAAATGTTGAAATCATAAATGACCAGAAAATGATACTTAAGAATAAGGCAGATGAAAATACAAAAAATGATGAAAAGTTACTGGACTTTAACTAGTGTAACTAGTGATATTAGTAACATACTAATAATGAAACATGGGGAATGCCTTAAGTTTTTCCTTTTTTTTTAAATATAACTTTAGAAAGAATTTTAATAAATTTGCTCTTCTCGTCTGTTGCCTATACTTTTTCATGTAGACATTCTGTTGTGTCCCCTTGTGATTTCATATACATAGAATTTAAGGGAGTTTATTTTGTATTTGTATATTTAGTTATAATATATTGCACAATAACTTTTTAATTTCATAAATATTCATTTCAGATACACTGAAAGGTAAAGAAGAATGTTGGGRTGAGACCTAGGATCCTAACTCTTGGATGTTAACATATTAGCATATATTCCAGAATTTTCTGGCTCTATTTTAATATGTGCGTTTTATGAATGGCATAGTATATTAAGGATTTTTAGATGTAATAATTTAAAAAAATTTACACATTAGGAAATAATTTTAATTTTTTCTTTGGTAAAGTTGTTCAGATGACTTCTAAGATCATTTCATTTAGGTCTGGGATTTTTGATAATTTAGGAACTTTGTACTTTGTTATATAATCCTTTTCCCATCATCTTGGTAAAAACCTTTCTGTGCTTTTTCCTAAGAGGACTGTTTTTATTATTTAAATGCATATAAATCTCTCATATAACTATTGATTTCAACTTAGGGAGAAAAGACAATTCAGACAGTGCCAACAGGAGCAAAGCCAGCTATCATCACTGCTACAAGACCTATCACCAAAATGATTGTAACTCAGCCCAAAGGAATAGGTTCTACAGTTCAACCAGCAGCTAAAATTATCCCAACAAAAATTGTTTATGGGCAGCAAGGGAAAACACAGGTATGCTACAAGATATGGTGATCTTTGTTCTTAAATTCCTAAAATTTTCAGGTAGAAATTAGAAGGAAAAGATTAATAAACTTAAAAAAAAGAAAAATTATGAAAAGTTTGGACTGAAGTGTATAATAATCTGATCTCAAAATCTGTTTTTTTTTCTTTAGTACTTTTTTTAAAATATGTTTTTAGTTGTAGGTGGACACAATGCCTTTATTTTATTTATTTATTTTTATGTGGTGCTGAGGATCAAACCCAGTGCCTCATGTATGCTAGTTGAGTGCTCTGCCACTGAGCACAACCACAGCCCCTCAAAGTCTTTTTTTATGGTACATTGCATATTATATAATTTGCTTTACTTGAACCCTTTATAACAGAGTTACTAGTTGAAGATCTAGGAACTTTTCTGAAAATTTGCCTACGAATTTGAGGCTCAGGATTTAATATTATGTTGCCAGGCTAGTGTCTATTTTGTAGATAATTTAATTGCTTTTCTGAGAATACAAAGAAAGCAATATCAGCTTTGGTTGAGAAATGCTATATATATATAACATTTTTATAAAAGACAATAATTTACTTATAAACTTATAATTTGCCTTTAGGATCTATTCCCTCAGATTGTAGTCAAATTGTTTACATACCTAAAAAACTAATTTTAATGGTGAATTCATATTGCCTACTGAGTTCAATAGTAAAAGTTTTATTTGCTCCATCATAATATAAACCATGTTTTCATTCTTGAACTCTTAGAAATTAATGACTTCGCAGAGTCTGAAAGGTTTATAATCTTGTAGATGGTAGAAATAAAAATGGCTGTATTTAAGTTGGCATTTTCATTCCATGGACGAATTGAAGTCATCTCCTTGAGCCCAGATTTTGAAGTAGAAAGGTTCAGTTTGAAAATTTTCTCCCACTTCATTTGTTTCAGTATTTATTTTAACTTTTACCAGGAGTTGATCCATCATACTTTCTATGTTGCTTCTGATAGTAGTTTCAACAGTGTTTCTCTGGAGTTTCTTCAAAGATTACTTAGGTCTCAAGCAAATTTTCTTTGTAAGGGTGTGTTAGTTAAGAATTTCATTTGGTTCCTGATGAAAAGACACTTTAAAAATAGTGGCTTCAACATGTGAGGGTTTCATTTTTATTATATTAATAAAAACCAAGAGGATGTTCTAGACTGATGTTGTGGTTCAAAAATTCCATTGGGAATTTAGGCTCCTTGTGTCTTTTTGTTCTACTGCCYTTATCTTGTGGTCATTATTCTATTATAAGGCTACTGGTTGTAAAATGACTTCTGAAATAATTATAGATGAGAAAAAATAGACACAAAAGCTCTTGTCAAAATTATGACTGTTGCAGTCTGTCATGTACTATTTAAAGTGATGTACATGGTTTAACTGTAATTTTGTCCATAAATTGAATTTTTCTTTGGTCAATGCTGTGCCCGAAGCATACACAGAATGATGTTTTCCTTACCAGAAAAAATGTTAGTTCATAATCTAGAAGTTTAGCATTTTAAATAATGYTCTAAAATTTCATCTGTTTTTGCTTTTCCTGTAGGTTCTTATTAAACCCAAACCAGTAACATTTCAAGCCACAGTTGTTAGTGAACAAACAAGACAGCTGGTAACAGAAACATTACAGCAAGCATCCAGGGTAGCAGAGGCTGGTAATTCATCTATTCAGGAAGGAAAAGAAGAACCACAGAGTTATACGGATAGTAGTTCCTCTTCCACAGAGTCCTCTCAAAGTTCCCAAGGTAAGATCCATTTTAATTCTGATTTATGTAAGTACTACCTGACATAATACCCTAGATCCAAAATAGACATTGCTTCAGGGATTTCAAACCAAATTTGTATGCTTCAGTATGTCAGTTCTTTTGATTTTAGTTTTTTTTTTTTCCTTTGTTTGATGTTTAATCAGTAGGCTAAAATTTTACTTTTGGTAAAGTTTACCATTCTTTCCTACATGGCATGTATTCATCAAATAATTGATAAACTTCAGATGATAATTTTACCAGGTAGGTAATATTAAACTCTTGATTTCCAAATGGTAATTTTTATATTCTGCTGTTAGGTTTGGGTAAGGAAGGGAATAAGTATATGAGAAACTGAATATACCTTTTGAAATGATTATTGATAAGCCTTGAGAGAGAATCAAGATATCCAGAGATGAGCTATAAGTGGGGTTCTTTTAAATTTCAGTTTACATGGGATAAGTCCTAGTTTTTATGTGTGTTGTTTTAGCATAATTAATAATGCTCCCTTTCACTGTCAAAATGATGGTAATACTATGGTTGTCTTAATTTTAAAGAAGAAACTTTGAAGCTAGACTCCATAAGACAGAGGCTGTTTGTCCTCAATGCTCTTTTAAGTATGTTACTTTTCTAGGAAGTCTCTTGGAATAAACTCAAGCCATAACTTTGAACTTTGCACAACTCTCGTTCTCCTATCACTCAGTTATCTTAACTGCCCTTCTTGTCAGGTGGTACAGGTTGAGTAGCCCTTATCCTAAATGCTTGGAACTCAGAAGTGTTTCAGATTTTGGAGTCATTAGATTTTGGAATTTTGCATATACACAATGAGATATCCTGGGAATGGAACCCATGTTTAAGTATGGAATTCATTTATGTTTCATATGCATCTATATACTTAGCTTAAGGATAATTTTATACATTATTTTTAATGTACCTGCATTTTTTTTTTGTTGGTTGCTCAAAACAGTACAATGCTCTTGACATATCATATTTCATACATTTGATTCAAGTGGGTTATGAACTCCCATTTGCAGTGTACCTGCATTTTGACTCCCATTTGCAGTGTACCTGCATTTTGACTCGGACCATTAAGATCAAGTGTGGAATTTTCCACCAGTGATGCTTTGTCAGTGTTCAAAAAGTTTCATATTTGGGGATTAGAGTTCTCAGCCTGTGTGTCTATGCATTCTGATGCATCTAAACAAAGTTGTTTATTTTCCTTATTGCTCTTTCTTTGCTCCATTTCTTCTTTCTGCCTCCCCGTTAGATTTGCTAGCATGCTTTCTTAGCATCATCACTTTTCTAAAATATATTCTTCACATTGTACAAATACTTTTTCTTCACCATMATCATTATTTTGAGTTGGGGTCTCACTGTATTGCCCATGCTGGGCTCAAACTTGTAATCCTGCATTCTTAGCCTTCTGGGTAGCTGGAATTATAAGCATTTGCCACCATGCCTGGCAACACTTGAATATTTTAACTCTTTATTGGAGTATTCACACATTAGTTTTATATGGTTTACATTGTGGATCATTCTATTTTTTTTTCAATTTGATAACTATTTATTAGTGTACTATGTGTTAAATATTGTGATAGATCCTGTAGAGGTTGAGTAAAATATAGTTCTTGCCCTCCAGGAGCTTAAAATCTAGAAGAGGAGATTAAATTTTTAAAAAAAAGGAAATACACATACAACTCCAGTGTAACAGTTTTATTAATAAACAGCAACAACAAAAAAAATGTCAAAGGCTGAAAGTGCATACTCCAATGAGGACAGGATGAGAAATCTTCATGAAGGAGGTAGCATTTGAAACAGTCTTAAAAATAAATGAAAATGTTGATTTTAACAAACAGTATAGTACTCATTTTAGAAACTGTATGATTTCTTTCAGCATATTATCAAAGATGTTCTGATTGACTTTATCATTCTGTATTGATTATAAAATCAGTGTATATACTATTTGTGGAGTGATGTTTATTCTCTAGTCATTTCTTTTGGACCTTCTAATTTGGTATTTATAGATTCTGTTCTTAGTTTAACCAGTCAACTGCTTTTTCCTCTTTTATTTTTAAGTCTTCAGGTAGTTCCTTAAGTAATACTAATCTTTTTTTTTTTTCCCATAAGAAATTTTTCATGGAGGGCAGGTAAAATGGTTAGCTTGTGAGTTGGTGCTAAAAGGGGGTCATGAATAGTAGATGTCACTATATAGGTTATCCTTTGAAATTGCTAGTCTTTTCCTAAGGGAGCTAAAGGACAATTAGTACTTCTCCAACATGCCATTCCCTTAGTCAGATCTCTGCCTCATATATTATTTGTTCCATATCTTTCATTACATATTCTTTCTTTTGATGGGAGATACCAGGGACTGAACTCAGGGGCACTAGACCACTGAGCCACACTCCCAGCCCTTTCTTGTATTTTATTTAGAGACAGGGTCTCACGGAGTTGCTTGGTGCCTTGCTTTTTTGCTGAGGTTAGCTTTGAACTCTAGATCCTCCTGCCTCAGCCTCCTGAGCTGCTGGGGTTACAGGCATGCACTACCATGCCCCACTTGCATATTAAAAGTATTCTGTAACAGAAAGTTTTCACAATTTAGAATAAGTGTATCTATTAGAATTGACTATAAAGCCAGTTTTTATACTCTGTTTTCCCCTCTCCCCCATTGCTTATATAACTCCTTGAGTGCATTCTCACAAAGGCCAGGGCTGAGAATGTATATGCTGTCATTTAAAGAGAAAGGGATTAAGGTTTTAATCAGTCAAGAATCATACTGACTTTTAAAGTGTAGAAGGGCCATGCCTACTGGGAATGTGAGGAGTATCTAATAACCCATTTCCCCGCTACATTGCTGCTTTCAATGTTTTTAGCCACATTTTGATGTTGTTTTGTTTGAATATTAGGGATTTACTACTGAGCTACAACTCCAGCCCCCAACTTCCTTTTTTTTTTTTTTTGAAATGGTGTCTCTTGAAGTTGCTGGGTCTCTTGAACTTGTAATCTTCGTTCAGCTTTTGAAGCTGCTGCCATTATAGGCATGTTCCATCATGCCTGGTCACCTTTTCTTTTGATAAGATTTCATACTTATAGAAAGGTTGCAAGAATAGTAAAAAGAACTGTATACAGTATATATTCTTATCTAGATACACTCTTTGTTTACATTTTGCCCTATTCACTTTTTTTTGGTGGGGAGTGGGTATCAAACCCAAGACCTTGTGAATGCTAAGTGCACACTCTACACTGAATTATACCTACAGCCTGTTTATTTTCTCTCTGCTTTTCTCTTCCATGTGTATAATTTAAAATTTCATAACCATTTTGGAGTAAATTATAGGTAGCTTTTTGCCCCTTAACATATTTGTAGGTCTGTATTTCTTACAGGTTATTCTCCTTATAACTAAGTACAGTTATCAAAATCAAGAAATATTATGTTGTCATAATATTATAATTTTAATATTTAATAATCCATATTCAAATATTACCAATTATCCAGTAATGTTCTTTATAGCTTTTACACCATCCACATTCCAATTCAGGATTGTGCGTTGCATATAGCTACATTTAACTGTCCTTGTTCTTTATTCTCCTTTAGCCTAGAATAGTCTTTTAGCCTTTCGTTGTATTTTTTGACCTTGACATTTCTGAATAGTGTACGTCAGTTATCATGTAGAATATTTTTATTTAGTTTTGTCTTATATTTTATTATGATTAGATTGAGCAGAAATTCCACAGATAGGTATCGTATCCTCAGTTTTATCAGGAGACATATGATGTCACTTGATTAAGATGATGTCTTACAGTTTTCACCATTATGAAGGTAATATATTTCCCTTTGAGATGAATAGTTATTTGTGGAAAGGTGCTTTGAGACCACTTAAATATCATGTTTCTCATCAACTGCTTTCCAGTTTTTTTAACATCCTTAGGTGATTTATTAAAGTCTTTTTTTTTTTTTTTTTTTAGTACATTTGATGGTTGACATTCTAGTCCAAGGAAAACTCAACCTTTTCTTGACTTCAGATATTTGGGGTGGGGGGGAGACTTCCCTGTATAAGCAAGTCCTGGTGTAAGGATATCTTATCCCAAAGAAATAGCCTCAATTCCACCTGTGCTTCCTATACTTCTCCCCAAAGAGGAGACGTTTAGGCCTTATGTGTTATTCCTAAACTGTCTCCTCACAGGCTAGAACAAAAGTTTTATTGTTACCCCACTGTGAGACTTCCCTTGATCACCTGGGAGGATTCATAACTCTTTTTACATTTTTATGCTGCCAATATTGCTTTTTTCTACCAGCTGTCTTAACAGTGACCACTCTGTACCTTTTGTTGGGTTTATTATAATTGTTTTCTTTTCTACTAGTCTGCCACCTTTTCAAGGGCAAGCGAGGATAATATTCATCTCCATGTATCTGGTATTTGGCAAAGAAATTARGTACCACCGAGTAGGTAACCAGTAAAAGTTTCTCAGAATGAACAAACAGTGGAAGAGCAACTATAACTGACTATGGCATAAGGTTAAACTTTAGCCTTATAAATTCATTTTTGTTGTCTGAATCCAAAATGTTTCCTTTTTGTAGTTCCCCCTAACCTAATGGATAGGCTTTTTAAGTTGTATAATTCTTGGACTATTGCTGAGATAATGATAAATAGCTAAAAGACCAGGTCTAATGGATCAAGTCCTTATTTGACTAGGTCACTTACTGAAGATTGGACTGTATGCTTCCTATTAGTCCTGTTCTTTATTTTCTCCCCAACTGGCTCTTCTGTTTTTCCCTTTCTCACTTAGGAATGGGACATCCATATTGGGTTCTAGATTTTTTTCAAATTATTAAATATTTTTCATCTATATTCAGCCTTATTCCCAAAAGGTTTTTAAAGTGGGTTAAATAGAAGATTTTATTAAGTCAAATGGAAGAGAACAAGGAGACAAAATCAAAGGTAGAGTATTAAAATGGAGCAGGGCATGAGGCAAATACAAAAATGATATTGTAAAAATATTGCTTTGAGTAAATCAAAACTGAGTTTCTAGGATGATTTTTTTCCTAAAGATTCATGATCTTGGTAGGTCAGAATGAAGGTGGGAAATAAATCTAGGTTAACTACTAATATACTTTTTGCAAAATCTTTCAGAACCATTATGTGCTCATTTGTGTTGTGAAGGATGTAGAATGGGATATAAAATATTAACTGTTACTCAAATTTTTTGAACATGAAACCCTCCTTTTGCAGAACATTTTGAGAAAATAATGTACTCTGAAATATTTTGGGCAATGCTGCCTAGGCAATCAAATACTATGAAGGCCTTGAGCTTTATGGTAGTGCTTCAGAGGAAGGATACCTTGTACGTCATTGGAGGAATATAGATATCTTAAGTCTAGTTTAGAAGACATGGTTTATGTAGGTGAGGCACCTGGGAATCTTTTTTTTTTTTTCTTTTGTACTGGGGATTGAATCCAGGGGTGCTTTACTACTTACTGAGTGAAGTCCCTAACTTCTTTTTATTTTTTATTTTGAGACAGAGTGTTGCTTTGCTTAGGGCCTAAGTGGCTTTGAAATTGGGTTCCTCAGCTTCAGCCTCCCAAGTTGTTGGGATTACAGGCATGTACCACTACGCCTGGCTGTGGGAATCGTTTTGTATGAGGAATGGTTGGAGACAGGAGATTTGTCATGGAGAAGAGAAAATGGAACTGAGCTGGCAGGAACATGGGAGCTGTTGTCAGTTATTTTGAGGACTATGATGTGGAAGAGAAAAAATAATTGGTCTTTGTTGATACAGGGACATACACTAGAACCATTGAGAAAAAAAAAACCACTGGAAGACCTGTTTTTACTCAATATAAGAAAACTTTCTAATTATCATAGCTGTGCAGCAAGAAATAAGTTCCCTAGTGTTGGAGTTCCCAGATTGGAGATATTGTTGCGAATATTTTAGTGTAGGATTGATGATAGCATTAAGCGAACTTCAAGATTCTCTCTAACAAAAAAATTTTAAGATTATATGAAAATGTATGTAGACCTTTTGTTATAATGACACAGGAGATATTCTCCCATAGAGATGCCCAGGTCTGCCTTTGGTTGTAATACTACTACCCAACATATAGATGTGCAATAAATATCTGGGGGTGGGGGGCAGCAGGCACTGTCCTCAAGAGAGGCAGAGAAGTCTAGATGTATGCATGCTGCATAAGCAGATGATACTCTTAGATTAGGCTCCAAGCCAAAATTAAGGTGGAGAATCATTCAAGCAATGAGTTTCACATATAGTCACATTTTAATTTTGTGTCACAGCTGTTGAAGTTGCTACTGTGATACTTGGTGAGGGTCCACTCTTATTTCTGAGTATGGACAGAAAGAGATGGTGCAATCTCCAAGTCCATATAGGGTGATATTATTTGGGATGATGGTCTCTGTTGCTCCTCTTTCGAAATATGTTGCCCTTTGTCTGTCTCTACCTTATCTCTACAAATCCCTGCCTCCTTCTGGATATTCAGTGTGTCTCATAGAATTGGGTTACAAAGTCATTCTTTGTATCATCATTATAATTTCTTAAGTTTGAGAGCTTAAGTTATATAAAACTAATGATACTCTAATATAATCAGTTATCTTTAAGTTTTAATTCTGCATATCTACTTAGAATGAGTAAAGAAAAACTGTTAGGTCCTTTACCCAGCATTTGGTYTTACAGGAGAGTGAGTGTCCTTGAATCATCTGGGTTTGTTGTTACTATTTTTATTGTTTGTTTCTTGGAAGTTTAGTGGAAATTTTACATACCTGATGTGGTATATATTCACTCAGTATTTTGTGGTGGGAAATAGTTTGTTAATGGTATTTGAAAATTCTAAATTATTGTTGTATATTGATTTTGTTTTCTTCAGGAAGACTGTTTTGTTTGAGGAGTTGTTCCCTTTACCCCAATATTTTTGGACAACTTTGTGGCTTTCAAAAATATGAAGCTCTAACAGTGTGGAACTTTTGTTATGTTTATTCTTGGTTTGGGGCTACTTATTCTTTTTTGTTTTTCTATGATATTTTCATTTGACTATTCCAAATCAAAGTAGTTTCTTTGTATATATTTATCTATTTGCCCTAAAAATTTGATATTTGCCTTAAGATACAAAGCTATTTATTTTTATGTTTCTCTCCTTTATAAAATCTAAATTTGATAGTAAGATCATGTCTTTATAGCCTCTTCAGCTTCCTGTGTAGTGTCTTGAATAGAGGAGTTTAGGAAGTAATAGTCTAGTCCAACATGCTTATTTTATAGCTAGAAAACTCAGTAATTTGTTACTTGAGTTGATGCACATTTAGTGTTTATAGTGTAACTTTATACCATGAATATGATAAACCTTTGAATTAGGGTGTTAATTATTTTGAAACTAACAAAAAGTCTTAGCATTGAGAGCTTCCAGGCCACAATGACAACAATAACATTTCAGTTGTCCCTCATAGTTATAAAGCTTGTTTACATATAGCCATGCTCTGCATCACATTGTGGTTATCAATGGCTTGCATATACAATGATGGAACAACTGATTATACCATATAGCCTACATGTATAGTAAGCTCTGTCATCTGTTTGTCTAAGTATGTTCTATGATGTTCACACAGTGACAGAATTGCCTAACATCGTATTTCTCATAACATACCCGTTATTAAGTGACATGTGACCGTATATCATTTTATCACATCCTCAGAAATCCTGAAGTAGGTAATTTTATTGTTCTCAATTTAAAAATAGTGAGACTAAGACCCAAAGAATCAACTTGTTTATAATTGATCAAGTTGGGGCTCTATCCCAAGACTGACTTCTAAATGTTGCGCTTGTCCTCTTACATCATGCTGCTTCTAGATCATCTAACTTTTCTTGTTATCAGTGAACAGGATTTCCTTTCAGTAATTCAGCCATTTAATAAGTATTGACTGAATGTTTAGCTGTAATACAAAATACATTTTCAGGTGCATTGGGGGAAATAAGACTCCTACAACATTTTGTTTTACTAATACCCAAACATGCATTCATCTATGCAAATGCACACCTGTTTATATAGCAATAATCACATTGAATTGTATTTTGTCTTTTACATGTTCGTCTTCCCAACCAGACTGTATGCTTCTTGAGCATCCTCTGATAATTCTGTAAGCTCCTTTATGTCCTCAGTGCCAAATATAGTTTCTTACACATAGGTGTCCAATTTATGAAATAAATGGATGAATAAATAAGTGAATTCAGAAGTGAAATTCTGAGGAATTCTTTGAGGGCTTACAGTCTTCTTGGGGAGATAAAGCATGAACTTTACAATAAATACAAAAATAAAGCAAAAAAGAAAAAACAACAAATTGTTTTATTTTAAAGAAAAACTTTGTTTATAGGGTTTGTTTTTTTTTAACTAATATAAAACAGATTCCCAGCCTGTAGTTCATGTAATTGCTTCCCGGCGTCAGGATTGGTCAGAACATGAGATTGCAATGGAGACTAGCCCCACCATAATATATCAGGATGTATCCAGTGAATCACAATCAGCTACTTCAACAATCAAAGCTCTTTTAGAACTCCAACAGACAACAGGTATGAATTCACATGCTCAATTGAGTGAAGCATGTTTTTTCTGGAGACGGGTTGTGCTAAAATACTATCACTGTTATATATTTTTTGCTATTATTTGAGCACATTTTCCCCCTCTGGACTTGTCATTGGTACAGTCTGTTTACTTGTTAGTTCTTTAAGGTGTACATTGGAATACTGGAGCACAGATGGACTTTAGTCAATGGAAAGGGGAAGAAGTTGGAAGAACTGTCTTCTCCATCTCCTGCTTAAATAGTACAGTCCTCTTTCACCAGAAAGGAGTAGGTCTGTCACTTCTAAGCACAAGGATAGATGAGTATGGTTTCCACTTACATTTGGGCAGGTGGAAGGACCCCTACTATACTCTTTGATATTGGTAGTACAATTTTGCTCTCATAAAACATTATTAATAGCTCTTGCTAACATTCTAATTTGCTATAATAAGATCCCATCATTATTTCTAGTCACTAAATATTTTTAATAAACTCTAGGACAAAACTAGATAATGATATGGAGTTTTCATAATAAAAGTCAAAGATTATCAGTATTTAAGGGGACAGAGCAATGACCTCATATAACCTTTTTATTGTATGGATAAGAAAGTTGCGCTCAAGAGAGTTTATCCTATTGGTTAGTGACAGAATGAGGCACCATATTGGTTGATCACTAGTTGAAAAGTCCTTCTCTGCTTATGGGTGACTTTGTATTCATTTACAGTTGTTTTGCTTTCTTTGTTTAAAATGATTGTTTTTATTTTGTCACATTATGTCCTTTGCAGGGAAAAATCTTTCAGTGGACTTAGTAATTGGTTACTGTTTATTCCAACTTTGACTGTCTACTAACTGAAGAATACTGGCATTTAATGTAAATCTTAGGTTAATTCTTCTATTGGTGTTATTTTTGGCCTTATAGATGCTTGTCTTTGACAAATTTAGCCATTTCTATTAATGTTTATAGAGGTAGAAACTTTGAATGAATAGATTTTCTAGAAAAAGTGATGCTAGATAGTAAATCTATACTCAGAAATCATTCTTGATTCCAGATTATTCTATGAGATGTTTTTGCTTTAACAGCTCTTTTTTTCCTAACAATGAAAATTTTATTCTTTTGTCATTAAAGACCTAGTAACATTCTTTGGAGATATCTTAAATTTTTAATAGATCAAATTAAATTAGTCAGTGGATTGTACTCTTCTGAGTAGATGTGCCCTAGAGCAAATCATGCTATGTGCTGCTTACTTACCCCTTATTTTTAGGTTGGAGAACTCCAGGGACTACCTTGAAGGGTAATGGAAATACCCTGAGGGGAGTATATAGAAGGGAAAGAACCAGCTGTTCGACCTAGAGATATGTGGGGGAGGGAGTTTTTGTGTGATTGCATCTGAGCCCTTGCTAGGCTGCCTGGATATGGTTATGCAAATTATGCTCTAGATAGCCATACATAGCAGTTTGCTGTTTTCAATTCATTGTCTCCATAGTCGCTGCCAGTGTGGCATCCCAGAGGTCTGGTTCATTATTCCCTTGGACAACTCTGGTTTTGTACTTGTTTGTAATAAAATTTAACTTTTCCCCTGACTTTTTTATGCAGTGAAGGAAAAATTGGAATCTAAACCAAGACAACCCACTATTGACTTGAGTCAAATGGCAGTGCCTATTCAGATGACCCAGGAAAAGAGACATTCTCCTGAGAGTCCATCAATTGCTGTGGTAGAGTCAGAACTAGTTGCTGAATACATCACTACTGGTAGGTGTCCTCTTAAAACATAGTACTAAGGTAGGAAAGCTACCTTTCTGGATTTCATGGGATGGTCATTTGGGGGAGAATATATTCTTTATATTTCTAGCTCTTTTCCTGTTTGTTTTTAGAGCAAACTCATACCATCCTTGGAATTTGCTCTGCCTTTAGTGGAAAAAAATATTCACAGGATGTTAGAAAGATTACAAGTAATATAAAACTACAAGTTGGCCATAAATAATATTTGTGAATATAGAGCAACACTGGTAGGAAGAGCATAAAATATCTTTTGTCGAAGATTAAGTATTTGTATGTATTTGGATTTTTTAGTTTTGGTGGGGGGAGTTGAGTTAGGAGAAAAATAAAATAGAAAATCCAGCCCTACTTTTGTTTTTATATAAAAAAACAAAAATGTGGAAAACCTTAAATCTCTATGAGTTCTGGCAAAAAGCAGATTAGATATTTGTTTAAATGTGGTCTGGCAGCAAAACATTAATGAGATTTTGGGATGGCACATATGGAGAAGTAAAATAGGAAGGATAATAGGTCCTTTTTCTCATATCCTGGCAAGACCACACGTGGAATTCTGCTTTCTGTTTTGGACACTTCATTACCTTATGATTTGAAAGAGTTTAGAGAATCCTATGAATAATTAAAGGGTTAGGAGAGATAACTAATGAGGAAATATATAGAGAATTCCTGTCTTTAAGTTTTCTTAAGCAGTGATTAAAGGAGAACATAAAGTTATAAGTATTTAAAGGATATAAATACTGTAGAGGAAAAGGAATTCTTTGGCATCATTTAGGGTATATATTAGGACCAATGGGTTAAAATTGCACAAAAGGAAAATACAGTTGATAGTATGGAAAGCCATCTAGAATCTTTAGAATTGTTTAGCAAAAAAGCTAATTAAAGCAGAGACTGTTATGTTGGGAACTGAGTATTAAACTCTAGGGTAGACTAAATTGTCAAATTGTAAAGTAGATGAAAAGACCTATGATTTCTTCCCTTACTTATCCTTTTCAGAACGCACTGATGAGGGGACAGAGGTTGCTTTTCCCCTTCTAGGTAAGTGGTGTGCATCCATTTGTAGTATAATTGAAGGTAAAAGATGATTGTTGGTGGCAGGGGAACACTTAAATGGATGCGCTCTACTCTGATCTGGTAGAGGAAAGGTAAGCTCCATTTAGTGAAAAGAAATTTTCCTTTGCAGAGTAACAAGATTCTTTCTCAGAACTGAACAATTTAATGCTGGAAAACAGAGGACTATTTGAAAGATATAAGTGTTTTATGGTGTTTATATAGCCCAATTAAGGTCACTTCATCTTTTTCCAAATGTTCACTCTGTGACATCATCCCACAAAGTCTCCTTCCATCATACAAGCAGTCATATTGAGCATTTTACTTTGACTTCAAAGACTGCTGCCCTGGCCTGCTGTATAATTCTGTAATGGRTGTTAGTTTTATGACTTTCTTAAACTTCAGTTTCCTAATCTCTGGAGACTTGCTATGAAGAAATTTATCATGTCTTAAAGAAGATTATTTTTAAATAGTTACTTGATATTCTATTAAATTTATTTTTTTATTAAAAATGTAACAGTTATGAAGATTAGTATGGGTAGCAGAAATGTTTCATATTTTCTGATAATTTTATCAGAAATTCTCTATTTTTTAAATGCCATGTATTTTCAATGATGCTTCCATTAAAAATAACTTGCTCACTTTAAATATTACTCAAATTTATTTTTTCTTCTATTCAGTCATATTATAATTTATTTTAGTAGTTGTTTTAATGCAGACTCTGATTTCCTTTTGTTCAGTTCAGTTAAGTACATATGGAAGATTTTATTCAATTTTGTAATTTAAAATGTACATATAAAGTATGCTGTGAAATACAGTAAGGTACTGCAGTACAGTTATAAAAATACTGCCTATAAAATTTCCCATCACATGTAGTCATTTGTTTAGCAACAGGAAAAATACTGCATTTGTGAATATAGGAGAAAGTATCGCTGATAATAAAGCTTATATGTATTTCGCTAGATAATTTTAAACTTTTGTCCTTTAGGACATAAATGGTATTTTTATATTAGTTTCTTTAGTGACCAGTTTAATCTTAGACGCCTTTCTATTTTCTAAACATGGGACCAATGCTACTTAAAGTTATATGAACAGTAGGATCATGCATTATTGAGTTTTGATAATCTCAAAATCCTTAGCTAATTAACAGATTTATTTTGCTTTTTCTGTTTCTGATTCAAAGAGATAGTTTGACTCATATGTCATTTTTAAAGCTCTGTAGATTTGGAAGTGGCAAATGTTTATAATGTTTAAAAAGTTGAAATCGAGGCAGGTAAAATATGATACATTGGCGCCTATATAGTTTTAGTTATTCTCTGGGGCCTTTTCAGCAAGAGAATAAGAAGTAGAAATACTACACTCTCAGCCCACTTATGTCAGCTGAGCTAAATCTAAGATGACAGATTTTTCTATTTTGTTTACCATATATATGTTTAAGAGAGAGACCCTGGGTTCAATCCTCAGCACCATGAAAAGAAAAAAAATCAAACAAAACCTCAGGGTTTTTAGAGGTTGTTAGAGGGTAAGTGACTTCTTCAAATCACATGGCTGGTTGGTGACAGAGTGGTACAGAATCTTAGTGTGACCCTTGGTCTAATTTTCTTTCTGCAGTACCCCCCCAGCCTCTTAAATTTTTAGGAACCATAAAGCTATGAGACATTGTCAATTCATATAAAGAAGTGTCTCTGATGTTCACATTGCATTTGGAATTGAGACGAAGAGATTAAAGAACTTGTATTGCCTACTTTCCTTAAAGATATGTCTGGGATTACAAAGACTCCTTATTGCTTTGTTCCTTTAATGAGAAAAAAGTCATTGGAGAAAGTGAGACAACTCCCAGGAGGATGTAACTTTAAAGGGTTTGTTCCTCCTTGGTGATAATAGTTTTCACAGCACTTCTGTATACATTTCTTCTCCCATCCTTACAATAACTCTGTTATTCCCATTTTACAGATGAGAAAAGAGAGTCTCAGAGAAGATAAGAGACTTTCTTAGAATTACACTGCTCATAGATGGGCACATTCTGCTCTTCTGCCTCTTAGTTCGAAATACCACTGTCTTTCTCTGTGATGCAAGCTCACAGACATTTGTTTAAAATGACTACTGGTTACAGATGCTGTGGTGATTTCTGGAGAAATATCATCACCTCCTCTATTTTCAGTCAGCCATCGATCCCAGCCCCAACAGCCCTCCCAGCCCCAGCGGACCCTGCTCCAACACGTGGCTCAGTCACAGACTGCAACGCAGACATCGGTGGTGGTGAAGTCCATCCCAGCCTCTTCTCCAGGAGCAATCACCCACATTATGCAGCAGGTTGTATATCTTCTTTTCCTTCCTATCTTCTGTAACCTCCTCAATCCTGAAATAAGGTTCAGTTTCATCTCCTGTCTTAGGAGGAGAAATAACTGAATTGTAGACTGTTATATAATTCTTTCATCTGTGAGGAGTGGAGAGGAACTGAGTTGGGGATGATTTTAATGCCAGAAAATAGGAAACAGTGTTTTTGAACCTTCTGTGAACTCTTAGCTTATCAGAAGGATAGCAGTCTAGATGAATCTATGATATCAGAATTGGTCACTGTTAACTGTGTATCTTACTGTCATGGAAGCATTTATCACCAAGGTAAATTAAGATTTTTCAAATGAAATAGTATTTGGCTTATTAGCTGTTTGCTATGGTTTGTTTTGTTTGTTCTGTTTTATACTTGTATAATGAATCCTAATGGAAACATTATAAACAAGTAGGAAAATAAATATTTGACCTCTTTAACTATATGTGACCAATTAAGAAGGAAGAAACTCAGTAGGAAGGAGAGTGAGCTAATATAAAATGGAAACATCTGATATTAAGGGTAATGAGGGCGAAAGAAAAAATATGTTGATGATTTGAGTCAGACACTGTGCTTTGAGCTTTAAGTACATTAATTTGTTTGATTCTCAACCATGATCGTGGAAGGTGAATTATCCCTCTTTTACAAGTGAGGAAACTCATGCTCACAGAAGTTAAATAACTTGCCCTAGGTGGCAGAGCCAGGATTTAAACCTGAAGTGAACTTCCTCTGTTATATAGTTGTATTATGGATATCAGCTTTAAGCATGACTTTTCTATAGTCACATAAATCACTGTCACTCAGCTGAGAGCAGTTGAACCTAATTGTAGGCATACTCTCTGGAAGGCAATGAAGAGATGTTGAATTGAAAGTTTCAAATGAATCTCAGTTTTAAAGTTAGAGGGGAGGTGTAGTATGTGACAAGGCAGAGGGAAGGTTGAGAGTAGTGTGATCTTGTGTCCCAGAGGGAAGCCAGTTGGTTACAGGTTTTGCTGGGTAGCGCATCTCAGCCTGGCCTTCACCTGCAGGTCCTGGCATTGACCTTTCTTAAGGCACTTAAAGGTCAGTCAGGCTGTCCCTAAACATGTGACTCAAGATGGATCTCCCAACACAATTATAAGTGACACCAGGCAGTCTTCTTTCCACTGACAGCAGTGCTCCTGTCCGCTTCCCATCTCCCTCCCTCCTGGGATCCAGGTCACTAGGAAGTTGTTCCCTAGTAGGTCTGAAATCTGAGTGCATGTAGACACTATGAGCCATCTCCATCCTCCTCAAGGAGGCCCTCTGTGGGGACTCGGTTGGGCATGTCTCAGGCAATATCCCTGACCTGTACAGCACTGGACATGCACATGGCCAGAGTGGGCTTCTCAGAGCCTTGGCTTTTCTCTGGACACCTCATTCCTTAGTTGCTGTATTCTGTCCTTAGATAGATGAGTGTTTCTCATGGTTAGGCCACAGAGCTGTTTGCTTAGCTTGGGATCCTGTCTTATTTGGGGGCTGTGCTTAGGGGTCACCTTATTCCTCTAATTCTGATCTATAAGTTCTGGGCCCTCAAGGATATTTCCTGTACTAGCAAGCAAACCAGATTTTGAAGTACTTAATGCCTGAGAATTCAAATGACAGGAGTTTTGATCTAAAGCCCCTTGGGGTTTCTTGGTTTTTTTAGGCTCTTGTGAAAATTTTTGAATGATCTCATAAAGTCTTCTCCAGTTCAAGGAAAATGTAGCAATATTAGCTGTTTTTCTTATTCTTACTTTGTGCCTCTTTTACTTAGGCATTAAGCAGTCACACTGCTTTTACCAAACACAGCGAGGAACTTGGAACTGAGGAGGGCGAGGTTGAAGAGATGGACACTTTAGACCCTCAGACAGGTCTGTTTTACCGATCTGCTCTGACTCAGTCACAGTCAGCTAAACAGCAGAAACTTAGCCAGTCCCAGCTGGAACAGACTCAGCTGCAAGTGAAAACTCTGCAGTGCTTCCAGACTAAACAGAAGCAGACCATCCACCTGCAGGCAGACCAGCTCCAGCACAAACTCCCGCAAATGCCCCAGCTTTCCATCAGGCATCAAAAACTCACCCCTCTCCAGCAAGAACAAGCACAGCCCAAGCCAGATGTACAGCACACACAGCATCCCATGGTGGCCAAAGACAGGCAGCTTCCTACTTTAATGGCACAGCCCCCGCAAACTGTAGTACAGGTGCTTGCAGTGAAAACCACGCAGCAGCTCCCTAAACTGCAGCAAGCTCCGAACCAACCAAAAATCTACGTGCAACCCCAAACCCCCCAGAGCCAAATGTCGCTCCCTGCCTCGTCAGAGAAACAGCCGGCAAGCCAGGTAACGGAATATTGATAGCATGCAAAGTTACTTCTCTGTTCACGGAAAAAAAATGAGAACATCAGGACCCTATCATGATAGCAGTGCTTTCTCCTGGCAAGAGGAAACCAAAAGCCTCATTACGCTGGTATTACTTTGCCCCGTCAGAAGGTTGACATTAGGGAAGAAATGCACTCCTCATTAACATAGGAAGAAAAAAAAAGCATAGCACTCAGAACTTGATTTTCCAGGCAGTTTTTAATGAAATCTCTTCAGCAATGATCAACAGTGCATAGAAGCGGTATCCCCCAAATTATTTTTATTTTTTAGGTGTAAATATTTACCTTCATGCCTGTAAACTTCTATTTCTGTGGCAATAACACTAAGTAAATTGAAGTCTTTTAAGGAACTTTACCTTAAACAGAATATCTTCCTTTGTAGTTTACATCATCCATCTAGTTAATAAATTTATCATCTAGATTTATATTCTAGATTGCAGAGGAATTATTTGTGGATAATCAAAAGAAAAATTTTATTAGGAAAAAAATCAGTGACCCTGGAATGATATGTGTGTGTGTGTATTATAAGTGTGTATGTATGTATGTATATATATATATATATATATATATATATATATATATATATATATATATAAAATAGAATATGTTTGTATAAATGTTTTTTGAAGCAAAAGATTGGAAAAAAAAACAACTTTACTTTTTTTTTTTTAATTTTAAAAAGCTGAAGACTATATGAATTAATTTGAGCCAGGTTGAATGTGTACTGTTTAGGGATGTAAATCCCAAAGGAAAACTAGGCTGCTGTTACTTTTTTTTCCTTTACTACTATAAACTTTGGCTGGCTGAACAAAAATTCTTTCAACCCCTCCTCTTTCCCTAGGTTCCTTAAAAGTAACCAGATCCTTCCCATCCAGCCCTCTTACTAAAACACTGAGCTTCAGAATGTCTTCCTAGTATACCGCACGAATGTTTCTTTTGCCATATTGTCTGGGGTGTTTGATTAGTTTTTCTCAAAGAGATGTAGCTGTAACACACACAACCCCAATTTATTTTCAGGTGGAGCAGCCAATTATAACTCAAGGATCCTCTGTTACAAAGATAACTTTTGAGGGGCGCCAGCCTCCCACAGTTACAAAGATAACTGGTGGCAGTTCTGTGCCTAAGCTGACATCACCAGTTACAAGCATATCTCCCATTCAGGCCTCTGAGAAGACAGCAGTGTCAGACATATTGAAAATGTCTTTGATGGAAGCTCAGATTGATACAAATGTAGAGCATATGGTAGTGGATCCCCCAAAGAAGGCTCTTGCCACTAGTATGCTCACGGGTGAAGCAGGATCATTACCCTCCACCCACATGGTGGTGGCAGGGATGGCGAATTCCACTCCCCAGCAACAGAAATGTAGAGAGTCCTGTTCAAGTCCATCTGCTGTTGGCCCTCCCCTAACGGCCAGAAAAATCGATGCACCAGGAGTGCCTGCGACAGGCCAATTCATGCGTATTCAGAATGTAGGCCAAAAGAAAGCTGAAGAGAGCCCAGCAGAAATTATCATCCAGGTAAGAATTGGAAGGAAAATGAGAACTCTTGGGCAGATGGGAGGTTGTGGGTTTGGTGCATTTGGGGGATATCACAGAAAAGAGTCAAGCCCAGATGGCAAGAATACCCAGAGATTATCTTCAAGGTGGTATTTGAAAAATTTCATTGACTACTTATTATAAATTACAAATTTGTATTTATTTTCTGGAAGAGAATTATAGAAAATTGGTGGATATTGTTACAAAAGATAGTGTAAAGGTAGCAAAGGGCCCCAAGCCCATGTTTCAGCTTGATTTTATGGCCATCCTTGCCAATGTGTTAACTCAGAAAATCAACCCAAAAGATCAGTAGTTTCCTGGGTTCACACTTTGGGATCCCAATATTTGCTCAAAAAATCTTGGAATTTAACTAGATGATACTTCTCTTCAAGTTAATTTCAGGGATTGTTTTTCCTTGAAAAAACAGTTCTTGTTCTTGATCTAATTTATGCTTCTTAGGACAAACAAAACCCAATAAACTGGAATATCTGGAGAAACATTGTACAGAGATGTTTCTAATTACTTTTATATTTAATTTGAGATTAACTGTAAACTTTCTTAATTTCAATCATTTTTATTTTAATAACCTTGTTATGGTTATTGTCATGCATTGGTAAGTTAACATAATGGAATTATTTGTTGACAGTATATCTTCCTGTGCTTCACATTTTCTTCATTCTAAAAGCCATGCATCTGTCATCCTGCATAAAAGATCAAGTCTGAAGAATTACTGAGTCAAGACTAGCTAGCCCTTAGAAGTGTGTTTTTATTCCCTCTCACTTTGCAAGGAATTAGGTTATCTTCTTGACTTTTGTCATTTTTTTGCTAAGCTGCTATATAGCGTGAAAGTTATCAGGGCAGCACATTTTAGTTAATTGAGAATTTAGATTTATTGACATGTTGCTAGTTTAGGATTTACCATAAATTCACTGTTGTGTAACTTGGAAGTTGTAGTAAACGTTCCCCTTGCCATGATACCAAGCTGTGAGATAATACAAATCGACCACTGTTAAACCAATTGAGACATAATTAACTATGGGGGCTTAATAATAATTAAGGTGAGTAGAAATAGCCATTTAATATTCAAAACATTTGTTTCTATATAAAAAAATTCAGTGAATTAATTAATTATTGGCAAAAGGTTTTATTGTGATTTTTTTAAAAATGTTTTTCTGAAGAGGATGGGTATATGATGGAAAAAGGATGGTATTTTGCCTTTGCCTTTCACTACTTTGGGCAGTGCTACTTAACCTCACTCCACCTTGTTTTCCTTATTAGTAATAGGAATAAGTAATACCTACTTTATAGAATTGATGTGAAGTTCACACAAAATTCAACACCTGGCACAGTGCCTTACTCATACCTATTATCCAATAAATGGTAACTATTATTAATTTTATGAGAATTTAATGTGGCTAATGGGGGGGTAGATTGATATACTCACTATATTGAAATTTCATTTTAGATAGCTTATTTGGAAATTATTTTTGTCACTTGATGAAAAGGAGTGAAAATATAATTTTTTTTCACATCAAGGGTGATAGCTAATGAGTAGGTTCTCTAAAGAACTCTAACAACTTATAGCATGTCCCTTGTGCCAGGTGTTCTGTGTCAGAAGAGGCAACACAGTGATTAAGAACCACACTTTTGAAGCCAAGGTTCTCCAGATTTGATTCCCACCTGTACTCATTACATAATAGCACTGTGACTTTGGGCAGCTGAATTAACTTCTGTATCTCAGTTTCTTTACCTATGTAATGGAGACAGTTAAGGCCTACCTCACAGGGGTTGTTTTGAGGACTAAATGGGGAGGGGAGTATATAAAGCACTATATTAAATATCAAATATTTGATACAGGGCTGGGGATGTGGCTCAAGCGGTAACACGCTTGCCTGGCATGCGCAGGGCGCTGGGTTCGATGCTCAGCACCACATAAAAAATAAAATAAAGATATTGTGTCCACCAAAAACTAAAAAATAAATATATTAAAAAATATTCTCTCTTCCTTTAAAAAAATATTTGATACAGAGCAATGCACAATAAAGTTAGCTTCTCTTATTATTTTCATCATTAATACACCGTTAACACATTTCATATCTGTTTAGTTACGCTTAGCTTCAGCCTGAAGAATTGATTTTACTGATTCAGTAATATCTATGGGAATGAAAGAAGAAATACTGAAGTGCTTTGATTACTTGAAGAATGCTCTTTTAAAAATCAGCATCTTTGGGGCTGGGGTTGTGGCTCAGTGGCAGAGCACTTGCCTGGCATGTGTGAGGCACTGAGTTCAATCCTCAGCACCACATATAAATAAAAAAATAAAGGTACATCAACAACTAAAAAATATTCCAAAAAAAAAACCCAGCATCTTTTTTAAAAAATATTTTTTAGTTTTCAATGGACCTTTTATTTTATTTATTTATATGTAGTACTGAGAATCGAACCCAGTGCCGCACACATACTAGGCAAGTGTTCAACCACTGAGTTACAACTCCAGTCCCCAAAAGTCAGCATCTTTGATATTACATGTTTGAAGGAAAAGCATTTTTCTTTGTAGACAATCTTGAGTTCATTCATTGGTTCATTCCACATGTATTTTTTAACCACTGTGTTTCTAAGCCCTGTGCTAAGTGCTGAGAATAAAGCAGTAAACAAGAGGGATATATTATCTTTTGCAAAGGAATCTATATATATGGAATTCATAGACTCAGAATTATAAGGATCTTTAGAGAATATATCTTCCAACCATTATACTTTATACAAACTTAAGGCTCAGGGAGGTGGACTGACTTACTCAGAGTCACACAGCAAGTCAGCCAGAGCTGAACTAAAATCCACACCTGACTCTAACACTTTTAATAGTGATTAACTATATGGAATGGGAATGCCTAGGTATCTCAGATTATTTTCTTGATAGTGTTAAAATTAAATTTACCTCTCCCCAAATAAAAAGTTGTTTTGATTAAATAATTTGTAAAGTGGTGATATTCAACTTTGCTCTGGGTTTTTAATGTTAATAATGTTATTAATTTGTCAAATGTTTATTGAGCATCTAATATGTGCCAGCCTCTGTTCAAAGATCAGGGTATTTAACAGTTAATAAGATAGCCAAGTCTGTGTGCCATCCATGCTTTCAGAGTTACCTTTCAAGGATCAGGATCAATTCAGCAAGTGATAAATGCAGTGAACAAAATGTAACAGAAAGTAAGGGGGGTGGGTCAGCCCATTACTTTTGGTTTAGTGGTCATGGAAGGGAGGCCTTTCTCTATGCCTTTGAGCTAAGATGCAGATGACAGAGTAGCTAACCTCCTGGAGTTTTTGATGAAAAGGATTCCAAATTGGGGAAAAGCTAGTGCAAAAATGAATTTGGCCAGAGGCTGGAGCCATGGTGAGGAGTTTTAATTGCATGATAAATACAAAAGGTAATGATTACAGAGTTTTTAGCAGATATAGTTTATGAACTGATAATCCTTTTAAAGTTATCTGATAAAGGTGAGGAAAAAGAATAATGTGACAAGGCAATGTGTTTATATGTACTTACCCACAGACCTATAGCCAGGGTGTTCCATCTACTGGTGTTTTTATTGTTTAAAAGGCAAGTTTTGGGTTCTCTTGCACTTGAATGCTTTCACTACTCACATTTTCAGTAAAGATCATTATCCCAAACAAATTACTTCCCCTTGAACTGCCAGAGAGGCTTGAAATATATCGTGAAGTTAGCAAATTATTTATCTTCCAGATAATAAGGACTAAGATTTGACTTAATGATCAAATGAAAATATCCTTTAAAATATGTTTCCTGAGTTTGTCAGTATACTTTAACTTCCTTTGTTAGAAGAAGTGCCATAAAAGAGAGGAAAGATTACTTTGAGTTGCACAAAACTTGGATTTCAATCCTGGCATTAACCCTGACAGCTGTGTGACTGATTAAGTCCTTGCCCTCTCCAGTTTCCTCATTTGTAAATTGGGAATAGTAATTTCCTTATAAGGTTGTTATGGGGCTGTAGTAAAAAATCATGTGAAAGCACCTAGCACAGTGCCTTGCATGTAGATGTCCAAGATGTCAGTTGTTTTTTTTTTTTTTTTCTTTCTTTCTTTCTTTCCTTCATGTCATTGGGGAAATCCTTGTCACTTTTTCTTACCATAAAGATTCTCTCCTGCCTCTTCTCTTCCAGGCCATTCCCCAGTATGCTATTCCTTGCCACGCCAGCTCCAATGTGGTTGTGGAGCCCAGTGGGCTTCTGGAGCTAAACAACTTCACCAGTCAGCAGCTGGATGATGATGAGACAGCAATGGAGCAGGACATAGACAGTAGCACGGAGGATGGAACCGAGCCCAGCCCCTCTCAGAGTTCTGCCGAACGGTCCTAGTGTTTTGGACACAGGAGTGCACTTTAAAACCTGCTTGGTTACCAAGTGTCCAGGGAAACTTGTATTTTGATGTCTAAAAAAAAGCACTTTGCCCGTACGTAGGCTGTGGACCCTGAAACAGCAGTGTTTCAACAAGATATTGCTGCAGGAGCAGCATTTTAACAAGATAAAGCTCACAGGGGAATGTACTTTTTTAAAAAAAATAAAAATAGAAAAAAAAAGAAAGAAAAGAAAAAGATGCACATCTACAGAGACTTCAGACTTGATACTCTTTTTCTGTTGGACCATGGCCAATGGAAAAGTTTTGTCTTACAGTGGAAAGAGACCTTTCCTGTGAATGTTTCTCAACTGGTTTCCACTGAGCAAAATGTCATAAAAAAAATACCATCAAAAAAAGAGAACATGAATAGTTTGTATTTTGAAATGATGTGTCAGGAACAATTTTTTAAAAAATCTTGTATGCTTTTGAAAATCCCTGGAAGTGTTGAATTGGTTGAAGTTTTACATTTGCTCAGTTCATAATTAGTTTATAAATATCTAGGAAAGTACTGGCATTAAAGATTCCTTGTTGGATGGTAGAAACCAGATCCCTAACCAGTGAGAAGTGCTTTTTGGATGGCTTGTACATTCTCATCTGTTGTATGCTAATTTATTGTGTTGTTCCTTTGTGCTCTAGGTGGCACACTTGCCTTCTATTTATTTAAGTGTAAACATTTCAAAGCAGACCATATTCCTTCTGACACATTTCTTGTAAACCAGAATTGCATACCCTTTCCACCTCCCATTATCCCTCAGCTGTCTCCCTGCTTTAAAAAAACTTATTAGAAAATGTTTCATTGTGAAACAGAGGAAAAGAAACATTTTCTGGCCCAAAGGAAATGTTCATTTATGTTAAGGAAAACAAATTATTCGATCATATGATGCTCTCTTAATGTTGAAATTGCACATTCATGTTAGACTGAGACTTTGAAAATAATTTTTACATACTTTTGTTTAAACCCCTTTGAAGTGTATAAAAAGTTCATCTGTAGTTCTCAATGTAATGATTTTAAGCATTCTACCTTTTTAAGACACAGTTTGTTTAAGCAAAGTCATGTGATCACTGTCACAAGTAGAGTGAGGGGTAAGGGGGTGGAGGGTAAGAATCAATTTGGACAAGTTGTGGCAAAGGAAACTATACTTTTCATTTTTTAAAAAATGTAAATAGAAAAATTTTTAACGGTTTTATATAGATTTCATTATAAATAAGCATTTTAAGACTGACAAATGTTGAACTGTACATACATAGATCAGCATAACTGCCCAATTTTTTGGTGCTGAAGTACTGTAAGTAGAATTCATCAACAGTCTCCTAATTTTTGCGTCTACATCAGGAAAGAAAAAAAAGCTGTGATACTATGGTTAATAAATTCCCCGTAGAATGACACTGAAGGTTTCAACACAAACTTTCAGAAATAGATGCACTGGTCTATGGTGGTTGTCAATATTTCTACTAGGTGATAATGACTTACCCATAGATGGAGCTGTTGGATATCATTTCATTGTAAAAATTCATATTTGAAAAACTTTGTGACTGTTTCTAGTTGAGTAATTTTTTAACTTCTCCTGGGTTATAGACTTCTTTGAAAATCTGATTAAATTATGAACTCTCTCACCAAAAAGATACACATGCCAATATACATGTTAGATTTCACATACAATTTTAGGGACTCTTGGGTCCCTAAATGTGTCCATGTATTCCAGGTTAAGCCCTCTCTTGTGGTCAGTCCATTACTTACAGATGTAAGTTTTTATAAAATAAAATCTTCTAAATATTCATGGGTCAGATAACAAGAGTGAACTTGAATAAAGTTATTCTGCATATTCTAAMAGCATAGCATACCTGTATCCCTTTGAGAATTTAGCCTTAATATGTTTCAGCAACTGAAATGGCAAATGAAACTGGTATAGTCTATGTACAAAATGAAGTAAGAGATTTAAGATATTTTTTTCTTTCAAAGGTGCTAATGCCAAGTAGACCACAAACTTAACTTAATAACAAATATTAATTAGGGCTCTTCTGTGTGCCAGATATTGTTCTAAGCTGGGATATCATAGTGAACAAACATAAAATCCTACCCTTACAGAAGTTCATGGGCAGGGCTTCCAGCTGATGAAATAGATGTGAGGAATGAAGGAAGGAGAAAACCAAAATGAGGCTGAGGTTTCTTGAATGATTAATGGTGACACCATATATGGATTTTCAGACATTCTTTTACTGAAAGTCTTAGCATTGTATCTGTTAATATTTCATGTTTATTCTCATAAGTTCAAAGTAATTTTATATTATCTCTTTGAAGGATATTCAGAGATTATGATGCAATTCTACCCAGTTATTAGAATTCTAAGAACTGGTAAGCAGTGATAAGAAAGAATCATGGTGTTTAAAATAAAACCATGTAGTTTAAAGTAAACTTTAATAAGTGCCTAATACTTCAGATAGAGCTTTTGGTGAATTTAGAAACAACTTATAGAAAAAAAAATAGCTTTATTGGGATACTCATATGCCATATAAATTGTACAGTTAAGTGGGTTTTAGTACATTTCCAGAGTACTAATTATCTATTGCCATAATCAAATTTTAGAATATTTTCATCAACACCCAAAGAAACACTATTCCACTGAACATCCAACTCCAGCCTGTAGTGGTAGCTACTTTACTTTCTGCCTATGGATTTGCCTCTTATTGTATCATAAATACAATCATACAATAGATGGTCTTTCATAACTAACTTCTTAGCACAATATTGTCAAAACTCATATTATATAGCACATATCAGTGGCTTTTATGACTATTCCATCATGTGGATATGTCACTTTTAAAAATCCATCAGTTGATGGACATTGTTTCCACTTTGGAGCTGCTTATGAGTGATATTGCTGTGAACACTTGTGTATAAATTTTACTGATGTTTTCTGTTCTCGTGGGTTTATACCTAAGAATGGGGTTGTTGGGTCATGCAGTAACTATTTAACCTTTYGAGGAACTGCCAGACGGTTTTCCACAGAGAATGCCAGTTTTTCATTCCCACCAGCACTATATAGAGCTCCAGKTTCTCCACATCCTTGCTGACCCTTGCTACTGTCTGTCTTTTATTTAGCCATCATAGTAGGTAGAGTGGGTACCTCATTGTGGTTCTGATTTACATCTCTTTGATGATGCGATGAGCATTTTTTCAGGTACATCTTAGCCATTGGTATGTCTTTGGTGAAATACCTATTCAGGCCCTGTGCCCATTTTTTCAGTCAAATTATTTTTTTTCTTACTTAAATTGAGGACTTTTGAAGTATAAGAAATGATTCTAAAGAGAAAAGTAATCTGTCTCTGGTAAGTTTTCACCTTAAAATATTAGGTTAATTATAGTTCTTCCTTTATAATGTACCAAATTGCTTAACATTCTTAATTAGTATAGTTTTTTTAATATTTATTTTTTTGTAGTTGGACACAGTAATTTTATTTTATTATTTATTTTTATTCAGTGCTGAGGATTAAACCCAGGGCCTTGCACATATGAGGCGAGTGCTCTACCGCTGAGCCACAGCCCCAGCCCCTTAATTAGTATAGTTTTATAGCTGAAAACTTGTTTGTTTTGCATTTCTTTCTGTAAGGTTCTCACAGTCACCTGTCTTGGGTAGGAGACAGCACAAAGGAAATAGTGGTTAGGTGATCTGGATTTGAGTCCCAGGCTCCTTTAATTATTGCTCATGTAAACTTGAGCAAGTCACATTCCCTCTCCACATTAGTTTCTGTATAACCCAAAGTATTTCTGACCTCATGAGAGAATTGTGAAGASTAGGTGAATTGTTCATGTAAAATTATTGGGTGTGGTACTCAGTTTGTTGTTGGTGGTTTTCATTTCTTTTTTCTTTCTTTTTTTTTTTTTGAGTCCATTTGTTATACCACTCCCATTTTATAAACAGAAAACAAGGACTCAAAGAAGTTGAAGACTTGTACCAGAACTCATAGGTTAAATGCAAATGGCATCATGCTGAACCACTGAATTAGTGCTGTCTCTAGAAAGCCACATTTGTGCCACCGAAGGAAACTGGTCGTTGAAGGATAGAGGAACTTGGTGTGGAACTCTCGAGCATGTCTTGTTGGCCATAAGGGTCTTTACACAGGTGCTCAGTTCAGGTGTGTTTGTTTCTTAGTTCAATTATGTGTCACAAATCCCATATAAGAGGAAGTAAAGTGAAAAAGCACCATATAAGTAAGACTTTTCCCAGAAAAGATAGTGAAAAAACAGTCTGCTGCCTCAGCTTGAAGGCTTGCAAGCCTTTGAGCTGTGTCAACCTATATATTGAAAAAGAAGAATTGAAACAAGAATAGGGTCAGATTTATACTTGTAAGAAGGCTCACTCTGCCTTCTTCCCTCTTCCCTGCTCATAAATACACTAACTGAAAGTACTTTTTTTTTTTTAAAAAAAAAAAAAAAAACCAGACAAGCTGACAATCTGTGAACTTTTAGGACAAACTCTAAAAAGCTTAAGACAGCAGGGGATAAAGCAGCATTACATTATTTGATTCCTTAAAATAAATGATAAGTAGTCTTCYCTGCACATAGTTCTGCCCAGTGTCCTGACTTTCTCCTCCTTGCAACAAATAGTCGCTGGACACTTTCTGTGTGCAGACATTGGGCACACAGTTGACCAGGGGTTTCAAGCCTACTAAAGAGGCATATTATTCAAACAAGGACAATGTATTACATGGTAAGCCATGATAGAGAAATACTTTGTACCATGATAACATTTGAATGGGGAGGTTGAGGAGAGTGTCTCTCACGAAGGAGTGTGTGAACTGTGACCTGAAGGAAGAGGAAGAATTAGAATTTAACTAGGCAAAGAGGAGGGGGGACAATTGTCCATGTAGTAGGGACAGCAGACTCAAAATTCTGGTGGGAGAAAATCTCAAGTAGGCTTGTGTGGCTGCAGCACAAGGAGCAAGGGAATGGCAGAAGGCAGAAGCCAAACAGTTTTGCAGGTTATGATAAAGGTGTGTTATTATTTCTTTTGTTGTTTTGTTTGTTTTTGCAGTACTGGGAATTGAATCCAGGGATGCTCTGCCACTAAGCCACATCTCTATCTCTTTTAATTTTATTTTTTTATTTTGAGACAGGGTTTCAGAAGTTACCCAGGTTGGCTTTGAACTTGTGATCCTCCTGCC